TATATATATATATATATATATATAATAAGTATATACATACATCTGTGATAACATCTACTTCTTACATTTGTTTAATTATCTAATAATACTTTTTGAATTTTATTTATATCAAATGGCAAGATAGAAAATACGATAGGAAATGTTTTGGCATTCACTCAAAAACACCTTACGTTAAAACACCTTTATATATAAGATCAAAGTATATATCTACTTTTCAACGTGAAAATTCTTCGATATTGCGTACCTTCAGCTAAAGCGTCACCTAGAAAACGATCACACATTTTAGCAAAATGCCTCTGGCAAGAGTTTCATGTAACTTTACCGACGGTCGTCCGACTCGTTCCGACGTAAATTCGAAGAGGACTTTGGTCCCGAAGCACGTGAAACTGACGTGAACTGTCCGATCGGTCAAAAACAGACGAAATAAACCGTCGAAGTGCATTCCATCGTACAACTGAGATTGAACGAGCGTCTCGTTTATACCTCATTTATTTCTACGTACGCATTTGGAATGAAATAATTTGAACCTTTATATCGATTAGAATTCATTCATTTTAATTACGAATATAAAGGGATTTTGTATAAAATTATTTTACATTTATTCTTTGTAATATTTGAAATGAACGCGACGTTCACGTGTATTTATTAGCGCGAATATAATTCTTTATATAAAAAAAAAAAAGAAAAAAAAAAAAAAGAAAAAAAGCACGAGAAAAAATGAAAAATATATGTATAATTAACAAACACTGAAACTCTATTAAATTATTTTATAATTTCGTTATAATATTTATTTAAATAAAAGTATGACGTATATGAGAAAATAATTTAAATAATAAAATTCATATATTTTTAAACCATTATGCTATTCGAAATAAAAAGAAGGACAAAGTTTATTATAAAACCAAGTTGAAAATAGAATGCAACTTAACAACTAACTTGGTTATAAGTGTTACTTGGCTGAGTCATTTGTTTTTCTATGCAAAATAATTGTACTTTATCTTCTTCTTAACGCATCGATAAAATGAATGTTCAATAAGAACAAACAGCGGAAAAAAAATACATTGCAAAAAAGAAAATTACATAAAAGAAAAAAAAAGAAAAAAGAAACAATATTTTTTTAAACGTCACAATTACTACGAACATATCTTTGAAATATGTCATTTAATCATAAGCACTTCTTTAATAATTAATCATAAGTGTTTATCCTGTGATCGAGTGTGATGTTCAGATAGACGATAAAATCAATTCAATTCGTAGATATGAAAGAATTAGATTCTTTTCTTTTTTTTTTTCTTCTTCTTCTTCGAGATTCTATTCCCGATAGAGTCGTCGAATTTATTTGAATCGATACTCGGCTAAAATAAAATCTTTCTTCCCCTTCTTCGTACGACCACGATCATATCAGACGTGGAAACGTTCTACCCCTTCTTGCTTCTAGTATTTCTCTTTCACTGACGTAACTGAGCATCAGACTGAAGCATGATGTCTGTAAACGCAAATTAGATCTAGAAAACGACTGCTTTGCGTTGATCGCATCGGTCCCGAAACACAAAGGCAAGGCAAATTGAATTCCGAGATTGAATTCCGACCAATTTCGACCTAATTTTCGCGACACCCTATCTGTCGTGGCCAAGCTTGACGAGAATTTCAGACAAGGGAAAGAGAGAGAGAGATAAAGAGAGACAGAGAGATTTCCAGAACTATCGGCACATCGTTTGAAATTATTCTATGGTCGTAACTCGCTTTGCACATCGAAGAAGAGACAACGTGCTCGACTAAGAAAATTATTACGATGGCCTAAAAGAAAATATATCGATGGATAAAAGAAAATACTTCTTTCTACATAATTAAGAATCTTTTACAATAATTATATTGCAGAAGAATTATTAAGAAACAATTATTCAAGTAATTTACTTGGATAGAATTAAACAAAAAAGAAATCACATGTCACATTATCTATTAAAAAATGAATTTGTCAAATTGCCAATAAAGATATTTTTCTTTTATTTTATTTTAACGTTCCAAGTTTTCCGTGAAATAAAGTGAGCGAGCGTGATTCCGATTGGCCGATAAAATAATGGCGAATATCGCTATTAAATCAAACAAGTTCGTGCCACATTCAACATTGGCTCCAACAACATATCCATCCTTTTCGTGATTACAGCCACTTGTATAGATCAGGCAGGCGCACGCGAGCGTATCTAGAATCGTTAGATTATTCTTTTTCTCGCAAATAAATCGCGTGAGCGTCTAAGTAGATAACTCTGGTTATGGCCGCCATCAATTCGAGAAACTAAATTATCTCATGAATTTAGAAAAATAATCTACGAAAAAAGGATGATGATGATGATGATGATGATGATGATGATAATGATGAAAAAAATTCTCTCATCGATAATTTTTTATTATCATCACATTTTAGCAATTAAAACGAATATTTCTTATAAATCTTAATAGAATAAAATTATCTTCTATTATATTTATTTAATTTTCTACAATTACCGAAAAATAATATTGTATTTATTAACATTTGAACTTTAATAATATTATATGTAATTTATAAATTATTATAATTAATTATTAATGTTAATAATATTATATTCAAATAATTTCGTAATAAAGCGCAAATTTGGCATCATAAATGTTCGTACGAAGATATATTACTCTCTCCGTACGCATTAATAATTAATAAGGTGGATAAATATTATAAGTGTATACCATCAGGTCCCCTCTATAAATCATTAGTTTCAAACAGAAATATAATGATAAAAATCGTGTTATGGATAAATTATTAGTATTGATTAATGGGGGAAAAAAAAGAAAAAAAAAAAAAAAGAAGAAAAAAGGAAAAAAGTCAAAAGAAAAGTTTATTATCAATATCAGTTCTCTCTGTAAAATTATGAAAAATCTTTGAAAATCGAAATAAATCGAGTTATGAATAAAATCGAAATCATAGGCAAATTTTTTGCATTAAAAAAATGTCGTTCATGGCGATGATCACGAGGATCGATCAAAAACGATATAAATGTTTTATATTTTCGCGAAGCTAATCCTTTCAGACAAATTGGATTGCCCTGGAGACACCGTTAAATCATCGAAATCTAATCACGACTGAGATTATTTTTGTAGAAGAGATTCATTGAAGAAAAACTAGGACGAGTTTCGTATACGCTTAACGGGAACACCGAGTTGTTGGGATCTTTTAAACGAACGTCTGCAAACGATATTAGATGTTCGATAAAAGTCGAAAAGAAAAATCTGAAAAGATCTTTACCATCAATGAGAAATTTCTAACGAAATTCATCGAATCGAGAAGAAGGCGCTTTAATTTCCCACGAAATAAGCGTATTTTCCGTGCTCTCTTGAACAGTGAAATAGATTAGAAGCCGTTAAAAGCGAAAGCACGTACTGGTCACATTTTCCAATTACGTACGTGTACGCGAGTAGTTTAGACCACGCTTCCGTGAAGTCCCTTTTTCGATGCTACGATATCCTCAGGATATCGACACGAGGTACTCGTTTTTTTTATACTTCCGTTTGACCTATTTCGATATCATAAAAATCTACGCCCGATGATAAAAATAAAGGACGCATTCAAGCTTTTCTTTCAACGATATAACGCACACATAGACGAACAAGAAAAGAAGAGAAAACTGAGATTGCGCAAGACGAAATTTGCACTGCTACTCGCTCGTTCTAATTTTAAAGATCGGCTACACGCTCCGGTAATTTTATCAACCCGATGCAACCGCGAATGTACTTTCTCTACACCTGTCGATCGTTATTTGAATTAAAACGCATGCAATACTTTAATAATTAATATTAACGTTGAATCATGAATATTATATTCTTCGTAGTTTTTAAAAAATATTTGATATTGCAAATTTAAAAAAAAAAAAAAAGATAAACGTCCTAACGTGTAACACACATAGTTAAGTCATTTGTGTAAAAACGTTTCCCAAATTTCGTATCAAGTAACAATATAAACGAATATTTTCGAGACATCTGTTGCGCACATGAATTACGACTCAACCATATAAAGCAGTTCTCACACATCAGTATAAATGTCTATCTACGTTTTAATTTGTTCTATTTTTTTTAAGCTATTCTCACAACGTTCGTAAACAATCGATAAAGTTGTCTTGTTCTAAATTCGTATAATGCTACGTCGATAATATCCTCATAATTTCTCATCTTATCGATAATATTATTTATATATACATATATATATATATATATATATATATATATATATATTTAATCTGTCGGTAATGTATAATTCATTAATCCGTCGATAATCAATAATTTTCTAATATCGATCAAGTTGTTTGATCTTAGAAATAAAATAAATAAGCTGGTCGATGATATCCTAATTACAAAATAAATACTAACAATTAAAACAATTCAAAAGTCATTTTATAAAACATCATACCAATCCAAACAAGTACAATGGCCAAGAGGCAAGTGAGTCAAGGTCAGATTTCCTTGAGAAAATTACAAAACGACGCGCTCTTTGAGGGACTACGATTGCGTACTAGAACGTAAAAAGTACAATGGAGATCTCTCCTATCATAACCAAGAAAAAAGATAAAACGTACGATAAAGAAGTATTCATGATTACAAAGGAGCAAAATTGCAAGGTATTTTTTGCCTTTGTACTTTTTCTGATTTCATTTATCCTTAATAAAAGACTGCTTTTCGATTTAAATTTTTCAAACAAAGGACGCGATATACGTGAAGTTTCCTATTCGCCAAATCAACTGCAACGATTGAACGGACCAATCGCGAACAAGCATCAGGAGAATCGCTAGACGGCGCGTATTTCGACGATTTCGCTGAAACGTTCTGATCTGTTTCATTGATCTAAAATATTTATATTAAATTACATGATAAATCAGAGATCAAGGATTGGAATAAAAAGGAAATTGAAAAGAAAGGAAAAAGAGAATAACGAAAAAACAAAACAAACCAAAACAAAACAAAAAAAGAAAACGACTCACCTTTTCGAGACATTCCTGTCCGATGGCTTTGGGATCGACCTGAACCTCGAGGATGACGGAATTAGCCTGGCTTACGAGGCACCACATATTTCTTCTTCTCTTGCCACTAAGATAGCTTCAAGGAGGAGACAGAGAACAGGTATTTTGTTACGAATCCCGTGACACTGTCACGGGAAAAAAGAAAGAAAGGAAAAAAGAAAGGACAGGGTACATAAAGGAATAAGAAAAGAGAAAAATAAACAACACTCGATGTAATTGCCCTTGACGGAGAACAGTCGTAGGGAGCTTCTTATGATAATGATGTTGATAATGATGATGATAAATAAACGATAGATCTCTCCCTCGGCGTGTTCTCGTTTTCAATCCGAAGACGATCGTAATAGGACGATGTCGCGTCCGTTGACATAACCAGAGGATTTTTTTAAAATGCTCCTACCCGCACACCTGTCACCGCGTATGCGCACGCGACGACAACCTTTTCGTAGGTCGGCAACGTGCTCACGTTTTCACCGAACGAAAGCGTCTCGTCGTCTTCCATTTCTCGGCGCGGAATGACAGACTGAAACTCCGTTCCGCTTGGCGTGGATTAGTTCGCAAAATCGAATCACCTTCCGGCGACTATCGAATGGCGCTACTTGCACCCGCGACGCACGCACGTATTTACAACGCGTTGGCCACCAAACGACTACCGCGCGGTGGAGCGGGGATATTCTCGCGTACCTGCACAGCTGATTTCCCCCACTACCAGTTCATAGATTGTATACGCACCAACGGGTAAAGCCACGAACATTGGCCAATCGTGTGCTTCTACCAACGCGTCATCTTGTGCCTTCTTGACGAATCTTATTTGATACATATATATTATTATTTCGAAATATAATTTGAGAATTTTTAGCTACAAGGAAAAAACTTGATATTTATAATATTTATTCATGATAAATATTTCATATTATATCTCTTTAAAAGGAATCTTCTTTTTCTTTCTTTTTTTTTTTTTTTACAAATTAAGAAAGTACAATGTGATCGAATTTCGACGATTTTTCTCTTATGTATATGATATTTATCACGCAAGCTTCAAATGCCATGGATATGGCTTAAAAGTTACATTGTGTATATTTTTCAAGGCCATCTGTGTCTCAATTATATAATCATAAAAATATAGGATAATGTATATAAAGCTATTTAAAAGAGAATGAAAGTATTTAATAATATTGCAATGTATGATGCAGATTTTCTAATGGAACATCAACTGTAATAAGTTACAACTATTATTATGATATAAAATATGAGTCGGAAAATACGGTGTTACCGTTTTTTTTTTTTTTCTTTTTTATTTTTTTGAACATTAATACTGTACAGACAATCAACCAACTTACAGAGACAGAGTATACACGCGAGGCAAGGTTACCCATAATCGTTAAACTTAACAAAGCATATAATATTTATAAGGGAATATTATATTTCTACATCGTCGCAAGGTTTACATTGGATTGGGAGCTTGTTTGTAAACCTAGAGAGGCTGTAGGTGACATAAATATTTTTTTTTTGTCCTCGATGTTACAGATCATGGAATGACATCTACCAACATACATTAACATTGTACAATTTGTTACCATCACCTTAAACAGTACTAATAAATATCGGTGTTTAAACTTCTATCTGTCGTCCCTAGGCCTTGAAACGGCAGGTAGAAAATGTTTATTTATTTTAAACTTCTATCATTCTCATTACTGTGCTAATTCTGTGACTGTTTATATTGGTGGTTGAAGCTTGGTAATAACATAGTTACAATTACATTTATTGTCTTATAACAATTGCAGGAAAGACTCTAAGAATTTAAATATTACTGTCTATGACTAAACAGTACATATATAAGATTTCCTGATCAACATATGATATAACGGTGATAAATATGTTTTAAGACATGATATAGCAAATAATATTTAATGTACATGTATAGCATAAAATGTAGTATTTATAATCGTTGAATATATATATATATATTTATATATATATATATTCCTTAAAGTTTACATTTCATTGCGATAATTCATGTGCAATTGTGGCTTAATGTCGTACACCAATTCCAAGATTTTATACATTACCTAATTACAAACAATAAATACATTGTTTTTAAAGAGTAATACTATTGTAAAATTTAGAAAATAGAGAGTATTACTTACTGTATCTTTGTGCACGGAAATGGCTTGATTCATTTCTTCAATCTTCACTTTGGTATCGGCTTCAATACGTGCAGCTACATCTTCTTTTGAACCCATATGCTAAATAGAAACAAATAATTATTCAAAATGATATTTTTATCATTTGATAATTTCATGATATATACATTATCAATATATATAAAATTTAATAGGTACAATTATGTAATTTTGATGATATTTAAAAATATTCACCTTTGCTTCAAATCGACGAAATTGTTTTTCTCGTTCCTGTCTATATTTTTCAATTTCATCTTGAGCTTCTTCTTTGGCTTGCTTTAATCTACGAGCTTTACCTATAATATATAAATACAATGTTTATAAATACAGAATTTTCTATACAGGACATCATATATAAACATATATATGAACTTAAAAAATATTATATTTCACATTAATTTTTATTAGAGAGAACTTATTTGATCTTAAATGTATACCAACATAATACTGTACACCATCATGTCTGAAAACGTTGAGTGAGAAATCTTCATCACAAATTTACACGATAAATGAAAATTTTTATTTATATAAATAAAATTTCTATATCACTTTTAGCAAACAGCGGTTACACCCAATTGTAAATTGATTAATAATAATTCTACGTTAATTAGTTTTTCACGATCCTTGCGATATATAATAAATCACAACTGTTAGAAAAAAAAACTCACGCTTTCTAGCTTCGGCAACTTTTTCAGCAGCACGTTTTTCGGCTGCTAAAAGTTGTTGAATACCTTGCGTCTGACTAGCCATCTTTGCAACGAATGAAAGGAATAACGAACAGTGCTATAGGAATTACAAATCGATCATATGACTTTGGAGCTTCCGTTTTCTGCCCCGCCTTAAACGATGGCGCTCTATCTCGTGGTCTCACGTGGTTATTGTTCCACGCACTCTCTTTATCCGACAACGTGAATACACACAACTGCATAGACTTTTGGAGTTTAATACTGGAAGAAATCTAATTGGCCGTTGCCCCACTCTTATTTAATATTACTATATATCACACGTAATTTCCTTACTGACAAAAAAGGTTTTATCTGTTAAGATTATTCATCAAATCCCTGATTTTATAATGGATTACGCCAACAATGAATACAATGGATAATTTTTCTATATAATTTTGAACGACGAAACAAGATCTCATTTTAAAGATAAAGATTTAACCGAGTATATGGTTTTTCGAATTTTTTAAAAAGTTTTATTTTCTTTGCAAAAAAAAGTCGTGTCAACAAATGATGCTTCTTTTGAAAATAGTTTATACATGAAAATAAATTTTATTCAAATATTCGAGAAAAAAAAAAGCCATATCTTTATTTAAAGCTTTATCTTTAAAATGAGACTTTGTTCATCAAAATCGATCAAGAATTACGTCTGAACTTTCTGTTGGCCATAACATTGTTTTCGACATTTTTCGAGAAAAAAAAAGTTTCCTAAAATAAACTTTGCTTTTTAAACTTTGCGATAAAAGAGAAAACGTTCGAAGTTCTCTCTTTGCAAACGTCTAAGATTAAACAATTAATACATTCGATAATTTTAGAATTACTTCAAGAATGTATTGTATAATATACACGGAGTAATTTCCAATGCGTAACAAGGAGAAAGAACGGGACTCATCGAAATTGACATTCTAGAAGAATTTCGACAATGATGAGATTCTCTTGTATCTGTCTCGTTTCTGGCTGAAACTACAGATTTCTACATAGTAGATATTACGTAAAATGCCTCGACGCAATCTGCATGAATAAATTAATTTGATTACTCCATTACAAATTAAAATAAAAAAAAAATAAATAAATAAAAGAGATAATATTAAAAATACTAACTTATTATATAAATTATCTCTCTTATATAAGATTCTGTTTTATAAGACTCCTTATATATATAAAAAAAAAAAAAAAAAAAAATCTCATAAAATAAAATATTAAATTACAAATTTTTTTTTTTTATTTATGATACATAAAAACAACAAATATAATTTATTTTACAGCATTCACTTTATTACAATATACGATTACCCTGAATATTTTGTCTAGTATTTAGCAATATCTTCTCTTGTCGTTTCTTTTCTTCCTTGAATGCTTCTTTGTTGGCTTTACGTTCTATTCTCCTTTCCTAAAATTATGATTATTATATAAAAATGATTTAAAAATACTATATATATATATATTGATATTATATTTTTCATTTGAAAATTCATGAAAGATTTAGTAGGTTTCATTACCTTTCTGTATTCTTTTAATGCTTTTTTTCTTTTTTTTCTTTCATCAGGAGATTCATCCTTAGGCCTTATACTTAAAACACTTAAAGTAGATTTCATAGTCTCTGCTACAGATCGTGTATCTGTCGATTTTGTATCTTTATTTTGTAAATTAAATTGCGCTAATGCTTTTGAAGTTAATTTTCCTGCTGATCCATCTAATACATCTTTTGGTATACCAGTTTTAGAATGAATTTTTATTTTTCTTGGAACCTTTTAAATATGGTAAAAAATAAAATTGTGTAGTATCCAAGAAAACTATTAAAAAATTGGATAATTAAAGTAAATAATATTCTTTTATGACTTACTTTTTGTTCTACAATAAGTTTAGGATGATTATAAATATTACTGTATGTGCTTATAATACTTTCACAATCCCATTTATCTTTTTCTCTAGCATCAACAAATAACTTTATTAAATCATCTTCATCAGAACTTGAGTATTCTTGTTCTATAATTTTCATTCTTTCTCGCATAAATTCCGCTACATTTTCCATCTGAAAATGATAATATATGTAATATTTATTTAAATAATATACACATAAAAATTAATTGAATACCTACATCTTCTTTTTGTAATTTTTCAAATTCTTTGGCACATTGTAAAACCATACTAGAATCAGATGCAATATGTCCTTCTATGTCGTCCCAATCTAGAGCACCAATCTCATTATCATCGTATACAGAATACAACTAAAATAAAAAATTAGAATTATTAATATTATTTTTATATATTGATAATATTTATAGAAGATACAGACTTTATCAAATTTTTCATCCAACAGTGCCAGTTGCTCGTTCCTTCTCATTACGCTACTACTCATTGAATATTCTGTAAATCTTGACTTTGTTTCTTCATCCTTGAAACTATGTTGAGGACCATTTAAGCTACATAATTCATCTCTTTCTTCATCAGAAAGTTCCATGTGACCATTACTTGAAGCATCTGTATCTTCTTCCTCGCTAAATTCATCTTCTACACAATAGTTTACACAATAATAATATATTTAATATATAAAATACAAATAATTATATATACTTTATATTATATACTAACCATATTCTTCATCTTCAAAATCTCCTTCATCACAACACTTAGCATTTGCCAATTCTATAAAATTGTCTTCTAATTCATTTTCTGGATCATCAAAATCAAAATCATCATCCAATGCCGCTACTATATCTGGATCTATATCTAATCTAAGTCCAGATACTGGTGCAGCTTTGTTTAGCAAACCAACTTTCTCTTCAACATTAGAAGCAAATACAGATGATGGTAAATTAAGTTTACAATCCTCTTTCTTTTCATCTTCGTTAACATTTACAGGATCAACATGTACCCATTCAACATCCAAAGTATTAACATCTTTTAAATGTTGCAAGTAGTCATAATCATCATCAAAATATATTCCATATTTTTGCTGTTCTTCTACACGTTTTTTCTTATCCAATGGTTTCTTTTCTAATTTAGTAGCTTGTGTTTCGCCAGCTGGCACAAGTACTCTTTGTGGTGCTGTTTCATCAGCTATCAATGGATCTTTTTGTGAACGATGTACTAAATGAAATGTGACTGAATTTTTCTTGTCAATAAACTTCTTCGTTTTACCCTTCGGCTAATTTTATAATCAAAATAATATAAAAATGTAATTAACCTATATTTAAAATATGACACCTTCTAAGATTAATAAAATCACTCATACTCACCATTTTTTTTTTTAATATTATAATACACTCAATTAAAACTGATAATGTATTCTATTAAAGAACAATGAAAAATTGATTTAACTTTTTATCTGTTTAGATATTTAATGTTTTTTTTCATCCTACACTAGCAAATAAAATTCACATGGCGCACATGTGTACAATCCGTGATTATCAACTATAGTATATTATATTACTTTTTCTACAATATATGTATGAGTAAGAAAAATTTATACACACACACACACATAAATATTGTTTGTTTATTTATTAATATATTTATTGCAAATATATAATAATTAATTTTATTTTATTTTAATCATTGTAATTTTAACATGTATAAAATGTGTATTACTTTTGTCCCTAGATTAACACTAGATTTATCAAGCAGTAAAAATGATTGGTTTCAATTGTATTTATAAAAATTTTTACTATAAATATTATTTCACAGTTTTTCACTTTAGGTATTATGACTTTATTACATACATATGATCAATTTTTTAAATTCTTCTTTTGCTCTTTTTACTATTCTTTAAAATACATATAAAGTATACCTTAAGGCTAATCACACCTGATTTTATAATGGTTTATGCCATCAATGAGAATAGGTATAATTCTTAACCGATTTGGAATGAACAAGATTTCATTTTAAAAACAAAGATTTAATCTATCGTAAGGTTTCGACAGATTTTTGAAAAAGTTTTATATATGTAGATAAACTATTCTCTAAAAAATACCATATGATTTTTTTTTTCAAAAAATAAAAATCTTTAAAAAAATTCTGTCAAAACCTTACGATAGATTATATCTTTGTCTTTAAAATGAGACCTTGTTTATTAAAATTGATTAAGAATTATCCCTGTTCTTTTTGATGGCGTAAACCATTAAAAAATCAAAGACAGTGAACAACCTTAAAGAAGGATATAAATGTGGGAAAATGAAAAGCATAAATTTACGGTCTATTAGTCTACTAGCACTATTTATTTTAATCCAAATTACCTCGATCGTTATGATATATGTGAAAGGGATATAAATTATTTAAGCTTATAGACCGATAGGGTAGTGCTTGGTGATATGTTCCCCGCTTACGCTTGTAGTTCGTATTTTGTCCATATCTGTCGCTGAAGTCACAAATGTTTTGAGCAAAGGGTGACTTTAATACACAGAAATAATTGCCAATAGTTCTAGTATTAGATAAAACTAGACTTGACGCTATTACGAGACGGGGTAATAATGGAATATTGACTTTCAATGAATGTAACAAAATTGGAGAATAAAAATGGGGTTATTTGATCGGTTAGCTAATCTTCTAGGATTAAGAAAGAAGGAAGTAAACGTTTTAGTAGTGGGGCTTAACAACAGTGGTAAGTCGACGGTCATAAATAATTTCAAACACGAGGATGACCGTTGCATAGACATAGTGCCCACGGTTGGGTTTAATGTCGAAAAATTCTCATGTAAGTTAAATATTGAGGATTGAATGACGGTGGATGCTTTTACAGCACTCACAATTTTCATTGCACCCACTTGTTGTTGTTAACAACATTGATGTTCGTAAAAGGTCCATTTTTTAAGATAACAAAGTTGAAATATTATAAACATATATAATTGTTTATCAAAATTCTTAAATTATTTCGGTTACATGTAATTTTATTCGATTACATGTGTATAAAATTTTAACCTATAATTATTAATTATTAATTAATTATGTCTACGTATCCAATATGTGCATATACATATATAATAATATAACGATATTTAAATTTTCAATACATTATATATATATGTATAAAAATTTGATGACTATTATAACATTTATTATTTTTGTTGTTCAATATCAACTATGTCACTTATATCTAATTTTGGTAATTCTTTAAATGGAGTATGATTTCGTTTACTTGATCGTATAGGAGTACTAGTATGATTATTCATTATATTTTGTAATTTAATTGATAATGGTTTAATTTTAATTTTACTTTGTACCATTTTGGAAGTATTTTCTGATTTTCCTTCTGAGCGTAATCCAATGGTAAAGTTATTTAGAGATGATTTATTTTTTGATTTACTCTTAACAGTTTTTGTTTGCACTTTTGACAATTTATGAGAATGTGCAATTTTCATAGATTTACTTGTACTTGCTTCTGCGTATTTTTCTTTTTGTGACGATTGCTTTTGAATTTTTCTATCTGTATCCTGAAGATCTAATTTATTATTAATATTATCTTTCTTATTCTTTTTTTTATTGTTCACTTGTGATACTCTTCTTCTCCGTTTTCTTTTATATATTTTATTTTGAGATGTTTCTAAATTTGATAAATCATATTCTGAGCTACTGGATTCCTATAAATATTTAAATATTTATTATATGCTAGAAGAAAATCAAATAAGAAAACTAAAATCAATAATTATTAAACATACATTGATTTCTAATGTAGCATCTTCCTTTTTTACTCTTGTCCATGTAAATTGTGCATTATCGTCTATTAAAATATTATCAAATGCTGTTTGTAAATCAGTAGAATAAAATTTTTTTAGAGATTTTCTCAATTGTTTTTCAGTTTGTTCATCATATTTTATACTTCCAGTTACTTCAAGTTTGATTTCAGTTGGTCTAACATGTTTAGAATCATAACATAAATAAATTGTGATATTGGCATAACTTTCATTTATCTTATCATATACATTTAATAATTCTATTATAAATGATGTATATCCCAAATTTGGTTGCACATTACAATTACTCAAATTGTCAACAGAAGACTGAAATATATAGAAAAAAAAAAAAATGAAAAGATATTTTTTATTATTCTATTATCAACTTATACATAGTACTTTTTTTTTCAAAAAAATATTAATAGTAATAAATACCTTTAATTCTTGATACTGTTGCAATCTAAATATATAACAATTGCAATGGTGTTTAGAATTTTGTACGAAAGGTATTATATTGTATATTGTATTGAGTGATACCTCAGATAATAATTGATTTATGTCAACTGACATAGGCATAACCCATTTACCTATCTGTATCTTTTTGCCTCGTTTGAGAAGTTGTATCGCAAAGAGATTTTGCTTCTGTTCTTTCCACGATGAATTAAATCCAATTAAATATTCATTTCTAGCACAATGTACACAATATAATCCACTATATCTGTATAACTCATAATTTACATTTGTTGACACATCCTGATTACTTGTACCAGCAAAATTATTTGTGCTATTTGAAATTAAGTTTTCTTTTATATTATTAAGCTTTACAATTTTTAATTTTTGTTGTAATTGTCTGACAGTAAGCTTTAAATCTTCTATTTCCTTTTCTAATTTTATTCTTTCTGCACTTGACGAATCTAAAATAACAATTACATTCCAAGTAATATTTTTAAGGGTTAGGTTTAACGTATTGACGTATAAATTATTTAAATTCATACCTTCGGACGAACTTTTAATATCATTATTATTATCATTGGAAGACGACTTATTTAATTCCATATTACAATATATTAATTAAAATTTTATACATATGCACATATTTAAATAAAGTCGCGCCAAGAAACTTGTAACTGATATAGTGCAGTGGTTCTCATTTATTTGGTAGTAGTAAACGATTAACAGATGTTACACTTCACAAAGTCGAAGAAGCCAAGCGGATATTTATTACTATTTCTATGTAATATGTATTTAATTATATTATAAAATAAATATTCATATATATATATGTATATATATATATATATCAATTAACAATTTTCTACAAAACAATGGCACCATCTTCTTTCCAGTCAAAAATGTTAATTTTACCGCATTCGATATGTCGGGTCATGATCGTCATAGATCCTTATGGGAACATTATTACAAAGAATGCCATGGGATCATTTTCATAATTGATAGTAGCGATAAACTAAGATTAGTTGTCGTAAAAGAGGAATTAGATATGCTTCTTCAACATCCTGATATAGCAGGTATAACTTTTACGATTGTTGAACATTAAAAGTTTAGTTGAAAATATTTTGTAATCTTATCGTTTTAGGACGTAAATTACCAATTCTTTTCTTGGCAAATAAAATGGATTTACCTGATTCATTAACAACTGTTAAACTAGTCTCAGGCCTTGGACTAGAAAAAATACAAAATAAACCATGGCATATACGTGCAACAAATGCCGTTACTGGTGAAGGACTACAACCGGCTATAGAATGGCTCACAGATCAAATTCGGGATATATATATTAATAAAAGACAATAATCGAACGTATTATTATTCTTAAATCATGCTTAAGATTTTATTTAAATTTTAAGCATTTTTATTTAAAATATTTTATGTTTTTCTAATTGCATTAAATTTGATGAGGGAGTAAGTAACATCTACGTTTTAACAGTACTAGGTTATAACATTGTTTATATCAAACGAATCCGTCCAAAATTAGAGCTAATAACAAAATATAAAGTATATCTATATTTAAGTATGATTTATTTTATTAAATTAAACAATTAAATAACATTTTAGTAATATATTTCAATTTCATAATGTACGTGTTATCGCGCTCTTGTAAAGATGGCGCGACGTTTAAAATCGATCCAGTTATAACTTAGTCACGACTTAGTATATTTCTACATATAAAGCCTACGTGATTGTGTTTGCTAGGCAAATACTATATTTGTATTGACCCTATACAGTTTGGAAGAACGCACGTGAACTTACGTTCTTTTTATTAAATTATTATTTATTTACATAAATAACGATAGAAAAATAATAAATAAAATGAATGAGAAGAGTTTATTTCTTTTCGTACTTTTAATTGGCGTTGTTTTTAAGTCTATCGAGTGTTCTAACGTGAAAAAATATTCTTTACTTATGCCGAATGTAAGCCCGAACGTGGTAAGTAAATTTTTATATTTTTTATGAATATATATATATATGTCTTACGACATTGACAGTACACTTTTATAGTTTGAAATGATTATTGGTATTATATTGTAATAGAAAATTATGCTTTTTTTTTTAATACATAAGCTTTTTAATAATTATTTTCATAACTTCGTTATTGTACATTGTCAAAAGCGTAGTTAAGTGATATAAAACGTTGAATTGTTATTATATTGATGATTAATATAATAATTTTTATTGTAATTTATAGCCAGAATTATATTTATGCACTCCGGTGAAAGTAGATCCATCTAGAAATTATTATATAGTTGGCTTTGAGCCAAATGCTACTATGGAAACAGCTCACCATATGCTCTTGTATGGATGTACAAAACCTGGAAGTACCAAGTCTGTATGGGACTGTGGTGAGATGGCACATTCTCTTAATGGCCAACGTGAAACAGCTGTTCCTTGCAGTGAAGGATCTCAAGTAAATAACACATAACTTATAATGTTTAAATATAAAAAAAAAAAATTAAAGGAAATATTAATGTTAATATATTTTTTATAATATAGATCTTGTATGCTTGGGCTAGAGATGCGCCTCGATTGAATTTACCAGAAGGTGTTGGTTTCAAAGTTGGAGGTGATTCTCCAATTAAATACATTGTTCTTCAAGTACATTATGCTCATATTGATCATTTCAAAGATGGTAGTACCGATGATTCTGGAGTATTTTTACATTATATATTACATCCACTAAATAAATTAGCTGGTGTACTTCTTTTGGGAACTGGAGGTGTTATACCACCTAGAAGTACTGAATATATGGAAACTGCTTGTGTACTCAAAGAAAATAAGACTATATATCCTATAGCATATAGAACGCATAGTCATTCTTTGGGTAGAGTAATTTCTGGATATGTAATAAAACCCAATTGGAAATGGATTGAACTTGGTAAAAGGGATCCTCTTACGCCACAGATGTTCTATCCTGTGAAAAATAATGTTTCGATAACGACGCACGATCAAATTGCAGCTCGTTGCACTATGCAAAATATGCGCGATACTTGGACTAATATTGGTCCTACGAACGAAGACGAAATGTGTAATTTTTATTTAATGTATTACGTTGAGAATGATGAGCCATTGAATATGAAGTATTGCTTCACTCCTGGACCTCCAGTTTATTATTGGGAAAATGATGAATTAAGAAATATTCCTGACAAAGAAGCATCGACATTGTAATGAATTAACAAATCCAGAAATTGTACAAATACAAATGGCTTGATTTCATCATCCTGATTAACGAAATAAGATATGTACATCATATGCGGTTTTAAATTATACGTGTCAATTTGGTGCTATAGGACGAAGATATGGGATCAAACTATCTTGAATATCTTTTTACTCCATAATTGCATTTCCAATAATATCTAGGCATAATTTTATTCCAATTTTTTAAAAATCTAATTTAACTGGTAATGTAGTATTAGTTAATATTTAATTTTATTTCAATATTTTTTATAGTCAAAAATAAGTTTTAAATTTCCAATAATTTTTTTTTTGTAATTCATTTATTTATTGTGTAATATTTAAGGATAAATATTGAAGGCAGGTAAACAACATATCTGGTATATATTGTAATAGACATAACAATTTGTCTCACAGTACAGTTATTTTTTGCGAAGTACTTTATCGAGAATTTATTTAACTTACTAGTTAATTGTTAGTTAATTACTACTTAATTGCTACTTAATTTCTACTTAATTTCTACTTAATTTCTACTTAATTTCTACTTAATTGCTACTTAATTGCTACTTAATCGTCTCAATTCATAATTAAAAGATTTGTAAATGCATGAAGGTAACGCAAATAACAATTGTAATATTATCAGTAATATTGGAAACATATTTCTATAATTGTACATTTTTCATGAGTGTTTTACATTAATTTTAAATTATCTATAGTAAAGTATTTTTCGAAGGAAAGTGAAATGCACTAATCCTATTGCTTGAATGAAATAGAACATATCTGTGATTTTTTTGAAGTTACTAACTATTTTTTTCCTTATTAAATGGATCGAGGTGTGATCTATTTAAATATATTTTGTTTTCATAATAACTTTTTGAAACTTAAGTATTTTATATGTTTTAATCAATTTAATTGTGTATAAAAATTTCGATACTATACCTGATAGATTAATGTATGTTTTATTTATATATTTTTGATCTCTACAATGAAATCTCATATATATCTAATAATCGTAGAAAATTACAGTTTCAATATAAAACTTGATTATATTTTATATAAGTCATTTTATCAAGAGAAAACTTTGAGAATATCATTGATATTCGAGAATTTTGTTTTCCTATATTTCTTCTGGAACAATGCACACTGTAATTAATATGTAAAAAAGAAAAAAATATTATGCAATGTTGTATAAATTAATTCTCTATAACGATGTTAATTATATTCTCAAATATTTATTTAAATCTTAAACATATACATATATTCACACAGAGAGTATATATATATATATATATGTATGTATATATTACTAAATGAACCATCGAAATATCTATTTTCGAGTATGCATAATACAGAAATGGATTTATCGTTTCAATCTCAACAATATATAAAAAGACGTTAAATTTAAATAAATCTTTACGCATCATATTAAGAGTTATTTTCTTCCATTTTTTAATACAAATTTCCTTTTGTCAGTCAGCTATTTATCTTCTTTTTCGACGTTTTTATCAATCGTTTTAATTATAAGTTTTCAACGTTAATATTTTTTTTTCACAAAATAATTAGCCAATCTAATTAAATATAATATATTGTTTCGTCTCAACTTTAATAATTTTCAGTAATTACTGTTTCATTTTATAATATTCATTAAAAAATTTTCCATTGTTCACAAGGACGATAAAATTGTACATCTTTCGTAATTGCTTTAATTTATTATTGTTACAGAGACTACTAGTTGTTTCATTATAAATGTTAATTCAGATATTAATGATAGCTTATCTCAGAAATCGTTGTAGTAACTAAGTACATTATTAAGAACATTTTATTTAATTTTAAAACAAAAAACGTTAGATTATTAACGTGCTTTTTTATGCCTTGTACGAAGAAGTTAAATTAAACCGCAAAAAAATGAAGTTACCTCGAAGTCGAGAATTATAACGAGCAAATGAGGAAATTTTCTCGAATGGAAATGAATAGGAAAATAGGAAATTGTAATAAGAAAAATAAGAATTCATTTCCGTCTTGAGTTTGCGCAGCAAACTTTCTGAGTGGTTCGAAGTACTACGTTCGAAACTGTTCTTGTCGGCCAACGAACAAGTCGATGAATTAATATTCTCTACCGTTTATTTTTAAAGATCGAGATAATCGCGAATTAGACGATCTTCGATTAACCGTTATACGGTTGTGTATTTTCTGAATACGAGATTACACTCGTCAAAATGTCTGGTGAAAGGGACCTCTGTAAAGTGATTTCATTTGGACGCTCGCCCATGGAATGATTAATTGAATTAATTAAATATAATGTTTTGTTTCATAATTAATTATTTTATATTTAATAGTACGGTTAATTAAGCACACACATACACATACACACACACACACACATACATACACACACATACACACACAAACACATATATATATATATATATATATATATATATATTATTAGATATTATAATATAATGTTAAAATTTAAAGGTAATAGAGATAATAAATTATTATTATAAAGTTTGTATTATAGTTGTAAAAACATTAATCATGATGCTCAATACGTAGTACAGGATTATCGTATCGAGGAGATACGTAATTATTTGCTTCATAAAACGAGCCTTTGTAAAAAGTGTGTCGTTGGATATATGGCAACATACGTTTTCGGAAAACAAATGACCGGAGAAAGTGCAGAGGGTAAGCGGAAGCCTAATAGAGGTGTGTCCGAGCGGTTCAGCTGGTTCTCTATCTTTCTCTTTCCTTTTCTTTTATTTCTTTTTCTCATTTTTATTTATTTATTTATTTTTTAATTACATTTTTATTCCTTTTATTCCTATTTAATATAATCTCATCACTTAGTTGAAGTGCTGCTTCTGGAAACCTACAGGCTAACGATGTGACTCCAATTTTACGTTATTACTCGATGTATATTAATGCAAATTAATTGGATTTTAATGCCTTTTTAATTAGTGCAAAAAAAACCGCTTGTGCCGCAAGATCTGTTTATCCGAAAAAAAAGGAAATGTCTTCCTAGAAAAGAAGATATATTTCATGAAATCGAATAATCTGTGTCCAAAAATGTGTGTCCAATGTAGTTGATAGTTCAACGATGAATGAACTGAAAATGTTCAAGAATAGAAATTTATGTTTGAACAAAAACATAATAACTATTTATAATTATTTATAACTAAACGTTTCTTATATTTAAAAGAGTGTATATTATAATTTACAGCACTACACTATTAACTTATACATATATGTGTATATATGTATAATATTTTTTATGAAAATATTTAAATGCCTCCAATGGCTTGGACTTCAAAAATTTCATATTATTTAAATACAGTATTGTTTAAATAATAGTAAATCATATTGCAGTACTATATATACACTATACTATTTTTATAATCAATTAAAAGTAATCGAAAATATAAATAATTTAAACGTACCTGTATATATATTGGAAAGGGGAAAGAGCTGAGATGTTTATTGATAAAGGAAGACTGATTTGAAAACTATCCAAGTGTCCACATTATTGTTTAAATCACTGGCGAATAATGACTCCAAAATAAAAAATGCAAATTAAAATTATTTTATAATAATGTTCAAATAAAATGCGATATTATGTAAATAAATGTAAAATAATCGTAAATACAAATTATTTAAGTTTAAATGCATAGAAGGAGAGAGCTGCGATGTTTACTAGTCGGAATTCAAAAGATTACTGACTCGACAACTGTCAAAGTCGGCCACGTGCTCGTTCTCATTTGAGGTCTATAAAAAAAAAAAAAAAAAAAAAAAAAAAAAAAATTAAACTTTATTTTTATGCTGATTGATCTATTATAACGTGCCAATTTTATTTTTTTTTTATCTTATATCTTTTAACGATTTAAATTTAACGATTATCAGGGATTATATAAATAGAATTTGGCGTTAATCATCGAGTATCAATTTGCCCATAATTAATCGAAATAGATCGAAGTTGAACTTTCCTTTCGTTTCTCCGAGGGACAATCGTAGATGCCGATAACAATCGATTCGTAGCACGTACGAAAGTCGCATTTGAACTTTCGTTTCTTCCGATACGACCCACTTGGAGTGTCAGGAATTCTCCAGGAAGTGTTTTAGATTTCCTTCATGCGAGATCTCGCCGGCACCGATAGGTAAATCGTATTCCTCTCTTTCGACTCTTAGAAATTGATTCGACGTCGACTCTCAATGCGACTTGCGTTGTGAGATTTGCGGTCGAGATCGATTCTCTTTCTCTCTCTTTCTCTCTCTCTCTCTCTCTCTCTCTCTCTCTCCCTTTCTATCTCCCCTCCCTATCCCTTCTTTTCCCTTTCCCTTCCTACGCCTCATTCTCTCATCAGCGTTCTTTCGTTCAAAGCATACCGATCCTTGATGTCCCTTTGAACGCGTGATATACATCGCTTTGGAAGCGGCTTTTGCTCGAAGTTAAAATGAAGGAAAAGAGAACTCGAATCACCGTGCGCGCAATACAATAATGCGCGACAGAGATTTTACGACTCTGTCGCTAAAAAAGTCGACGACATCGACGAGTTCGATGACCCTCGGACGTGATTCACATACTTTGACTCGTCGTATATCGATCTGTGTGTCTTTTGTACACGACACGATGAGCTTTCTCTCTCTCTCCCTCTCCCTCTTCCTTTCCCTCCCTCCCTCCCACCCTACCTCCCCTCTCTCTCTCTCTCTCTCTCTTCGTAGAAAGATTTAACTTCGATTGAGAAATGAAAAATACGAATGAATACTTTCGTTAGAATCTGACAATTCGATAGATTTAGGAATTTCGGCTTTCTTGATAGCAAATATAGATTGTAGACAGGGTAATATTCGTGCAGGCACGAGGATGGAATTCGATCGGGTAACGATGCCGCCGCAATAATACCACCGTACGAAAGTAAAATCGGCACGCAGCCTCGGCACGTTTCGAGGTACCCACTTCCGTTTCTCCTTGCACATTACGTCGATTTTTCTTTTCTCTTTCGTGCTCGTCCCATGTGACTTCGTATCCGCGGCGATTCTGTGAGTATGATAAAATGATTTAAATGGAAATCAAGCGGTAGAATTTAATCCAAGCCCGATCTATAGGAATCTCGCGGGATCTCTTTAGAAAATTAGAAGCGTGAGAGCTGTAATGGGTAGGAGGAGGGGGGTGAGGAGTTGAAAGGGAGGTAAAGTAAATGACAGTGAAATATGTCTGGATCGTCGAGCCGAATGATTGAAGTTCTTGAGAAGGTAAAGTTTGCATTTTCCTCGTACTTTCTCAATAAGTTATCCCTTTTCGAAGGAACATTCGTAGCTTTTCCCATTGACTTGATCTTCTATATCAGTAGTAAAGCAGACTGCGTTCCCATTCTCTTTCTTTCTCTTTGGTTTATCG